GTGGCCAAGGTTGTTTGAGAGAGGTAGGTTGAATAACTTCATGACGTCATCTAGGGTGCCTCAACATAATGCAACTTTCCATAAGTCACCCTAGATGCTGATGCGTCATTAGGTTACCCATTACCAAACAACCTATAGACTTTTAAAAACCTTGGACTGTGACAACCTTGCAATATCAACTGCTTGAAATTGTTGATTTTTGGTGGAATAATTTCATATCGACGCATGAGCATTAAAAAACAAAATTCTCCCTATACAAAGATGGCATATTTACATATCATATTGTTTGCTTCATTAGCTCGAAACAACCCGCAATATACGTCAGTACAACAGGTTGTATATACCTTCCTCTAAACGCTTTATTTGTCCCTCTATTGAAAGTGAAGTTAAGGGTGTGACGTCAGCAAGTGCCTAATTTCAAATGCTAAAGTTTATTTACAAAACTAACATCGTGAATAATGGTCCTAATAATACATTCGATATTTCATTTCCTAATAACACCTGGATAATCTTCGATATTTCTTGATAATACCTCGATATTTCCTAATAATAGTCTGATATTTCCTAATAATACCCCGATATTTCCTAATAATATCTTATATTTCCCCATATTGCAATGTATTTTTTTATATTTTCCCATAATGTTTAATATTTCCCTATATTTCCCCATATTGCTACATACCGGGTGCCCACGAGATTACTTTCCGGCTGCCATTGTTTTATTTGTTCATTGATATCAACGAAACTTGTTAGGCTGGATATTTTAACGAAATGCCATTTTTGTGCATTCATGACAAGTTTTCCTGACTACCGGTTTCACCGGAAATTACCGAAACTTCCGATTTTCAAATGGCACACCCTGTATATTTTTTGTTTCTTTGATTCTACAGATCGTTTTACGTCCTAATGTACCTTTTTTAAATCGAAATTAGTCCAAATTTGAAAAATTGAAAAATTGATAAATCATCCCAAACTGCTTAACACGGTTTTATTTCTGGAACTATAAGTCCAAATGAGCTGAAATTTTCAGGGATTGTAGTATTCTACTGGAATAAAAGTCTCTGAAAATTTTAGCCCTCTATCTCTAATAGAATAGTAAATTAAAATAAAATCTGTTTTTTTTTTAAGATACAAGTCAAACTGACATTATGTTGGCAACACAATGTAAAATTGTCAATGCTTTCAAATTTTTTATGTAGAAAAGGCCTGTGTTGCCAACATAGTTACTAAATTTTTGACTTGGGGAATTATCTTTAAAAAAAAAACAGACTTTACAAGTTGCAGGCCACATATTCCCGCACGAATTCGAAATTTGGCCACGAGCGACGAAGGAGCGAGTGGACGAACGTATGAGTGCGAGAATAGCCTTCTGCAACGTGTATTTTATGCTATTTTCTCGATTTTGGATTTTATTTTTCATTTTTTAAATTTTTTTTTGTGAACGCTGTTAGTTGGGGATTTTTTATTTTTAAAATATGTCAGTTGGTGTCACTCACTTACTAACCAACTGACAGGTGGATTCTATCATTTTAGAAGGTTTGACAATTTTGAAGGTACCAAGGTATACTTTGAAAACTAAAGACGATTTCGCCTCAGTTTGGTACCCCAGTTTGGTCGGTCAAACAGGTACCAATCAATTTCGGATGGGAAAATGATCACTATAACATTGGTAGGCGCTTTGGTCTGTCAAATGCTATACCGCGGTTGACTGCGGTTTGTAACTGGGTAGTGGAGGTTTGGTAGCTTTCTATCTCTTTCTGTCCCATGATGTAGATAAACATGTCAAAGTCAAAATGTACCGAATGTCCTATCCACTGAATTCGGATGACATTGTTGAGTTACGTCACTCACGTACCAAGTGGTTAACCATTCGCCTACCAAACAGCAGATGAAAATCTGGGGCGAAATCGCCTTAAATGTCACTAAAAATCGTTGAAGAATGAGCTTCAGGTCGGTTTCTCATGAGCGTAAACTTGACAAAACTGGCGCAAATGCTGAATACGTGAATTATGGCGCAACATTCGCATAGAGTGGAGAATTTACACCGCCGCGTATGTCAAAATTATATTTTTTTCCTAAATTTTGAAATATTTCTTTAAATTTTGATTGTACAAATTTATATTTGTTTTTGCTTTAGTTCCAAATAGTTACAAATATGGACAGTAAATCACAAAAATGAATAAAACGAAACGGTTGCAACCTTAACCTCTAAAAACGCTAATTTTTTACGCGAAAAGTTGAACTTTGCTCAACTTTTGGCGTATCTGCGGCAGAGTGTCAGCGTATCCAATATGGCGGAATTTTGGCCAATCAGAATTCTACATTCATAGGTACGCTGTCACGCCATAAATGTCAAATTACGCTCATGAGAAGCCGCCCTCATCCTTCAACGATTTTGCGTGCGGGAATAATGACATTCTCACATCAAAATCGAAAAAAAAAGTTATGACTTTCCAAAATCTAAATCATAAGGTAGCTACTATGTGCTACTAAAACGATGAAATTTCCAAATAGCTATTTATACAACAAGTTACGAAATGAGTGTCTTTTAGGCACGCGACGTGAAAATTGTCCAACGAGGCGTAGCCGAGTTGGACAACACGTCGAGTGACTAAAAGACATCGTTTCGTTACGTGTTGTATACAAGATTTTTTCTACTGACGTTTTATACTGAAAAAAAAAACATAATTTTATCATCACGCCAAAAAAGTTTGGCACCTGCTTTTGATTGACACCTTTCATGAGGTTTTTTTGATTAAAAATTGAAATCCTATTGAAAAAACAACAGAAAGTTCTGTTTTGAGTAACCCAAACGTTTACTTTAGTAGTTCAAATAATTGCATTTACAACATTTATGAAAAAATAGACAAAATTCAAATCTGTGTTTTTTATTTCTGAACAATGAGTGACACTTTTAGGCACTAGTGCTTAAAAGTGTCACTTTTACGCACTAGTGCTTAAAAGTATCACTTTTACGCACTAGTGCTTAAAAGAATGCCATTTAAAAACTAAAATGACAATCGAAAAGTCGCTATTATGAAACGTCAGTAGGAAAAAAATTTTGTTGAGATTTTGTGTTCTAATGGTCTTTTAGGAGCTTCCGAACTCCATTCACTAAAGTATTCCGAGATTTGGAGCCGGATTCTATGAAAAAAGGCACTCAGAAAAATTGAAAAATTGATAAATCACCCCAAACTGCTTAACACGATTTTATTTCTGGAACTATAATATAAGTACAAATGAGCTGTAATTTTCAGAAATTGTAGTCCTCTACTGAAATAAGAATCGCTGAAAATTGAATTCAGCTTTCTATCTATAATAGAAAAAAAGTTATGGATCTTCAAACTTCAAAGTTTTAAAAATCCAAATCATAAGGTAGCTTAGTACCTTAGTACTGAAATGATGAAATTTCAATTTTTTTTTTCGTTAAGATTTTTTGATTATATGATCAGTTGGGACCCCCTAAACGCCATACAGACAGCCGGAATCCATGAAAAAAGGCACTCAGAAAATTGAGAAATTAATAAACCTACCGTTCTATGATTCTATTGATTGGCTATTACAGATTGCGCTTTTATCAGTCAGATTGTATATTTGACAGTTTATCAGAAGGTGAATAAACCACGATAAGCCGGCACTAACATCCTGGTCCGAATTAACCAACGTAACCGAATCGATTGACAAATGGTTAGGTACTGAAAACTCCGGTTACTTGAGGAACACGAATATGGAATAAAAAAGAATTGACAGAAATTACAGATAAAACTAAAAGAACCAACACCCGATTGCCAATAACTATTTTGACATTTGGTTAACCAGATTTCAGGAAACCGAGATCCAAAAGTAACCACTCTTCGAGAAACCATGGTAATTTGATTACTTTCGGACCGCAAAACCACAACCCTGCATATATTCGGACTACAGCCTAATCTAATTATTGTTATTTTATCAAACTTCCCTATATTGGGGTTAATAATATGTTTGTACCTACTGGGTAGGTACTTCTTTTCTATCAGAATGATACTTTTCTTCAAGCAGCAAAAATTGATCACACATCTTTTAGGATTTTGAAATCTGGTGTCAAGAACCAACCTAATTTAAGTCGCTACGATATTCTCAGGTGTATCATATGAACATTTCCAGGTATTTTAATGCTATGTTACTACAAATTTGTTCTCCTAGATTTTTCAAATTTGCTTGCCTTCTATATTATAGGTACTCGAATTCAATAAAACGAGCGTTAATTCTTATTAAAAAGAGCAGCAAGAAAATGACGACACATAAAACGACAGGATCTCCGGACTACTCCCGAAGGAGGGAACAAAGCTTCCGGTGCTCCGCCATTGCAACCGGATATGACGCTGACTGATGATTCCGCGTCGCTTTCAAAAGAATCCTTATTTCTTGAAGAATGTAAAACGATAGATGGTTTTGCCCCTTTTAATAAAATGTTGATTGTAGACATATACTCATAGTTGCCAAATACTTTTGCTCAACAAGTAAGAAGTCTTATGAGACTTTAAGAACTAGTTAGGTACTAATGAATCAATCAGATAGTGTCTGTCTTATTCTAAACAATAAATAATTCAGATAATACACAAAAAGATTTATAATCAATTTTTGTTCCAACAAAGTATAAAATATGAAATCTTTGGCAACGCGGTTCAATGACGCAGCCGAAAAATTTCCAACGTCGACGGCCTCTTGCTCTAACCCACGAAAAGAAAAGTTGGGATGAATGATTACACTTTTGTGTCTACACTAATGGGGCACCAGAGATTTTCTCGAAGGGGAAAAAAGATTCAATAAAAAATTTTTGAATAATTTTTGACGCACGGAAAAACCTCTTATAATGGATTAAGATGAGGCCCTTATTTCAGTGAGATTTATTAATGTTTTTCAGATCAGAAGGAATCATTATATAGGAAATAACTCAGGTTTCGAAAACTGACAACCATTGAAAACTTCAATGCCATTTTCACTAGTGTCTATCCACCAAAATGCCAACAGACATCTTCGAACAATACGACCACAAATGCCTCACAGAACCCGAATCCTACCCGCCAAAGAAGCAAAAAGAATCAATATGTTACAAACTGAAAAGATTCTGGTTCTCGATTACTCTGGTATCTGAATACAATTCGATGACCGTGGAACACTTCACCAGCCATTATCAGTTGAGAGACGAGCGTAAGAGGCACTATTACTCATCGAATTACTTCGTAATTCATCCGCTGAGCATTTTCGCGGCCATAGACGACTTTATTTTGTGTTTGTATTACAGCCTGGCGATTTTTATGCGGCTCATCGATGTGGCCTTTTTGAGACAAAACCACTTGTCCCATCCCATGTACGAGTTAGTTATTCCAATGTTCAATATTGTCGATATGATGACTTGGTTGAATTTGGGCACCTTGTTTTTTAGAGGATTAATCACTAAAAAGAAGATTATTATAGATTTGAAGGCAATTGTTAAATACAGATTGACGAGTGTTTTTTTTTGGGCTGAATTAATCTCTTCAGTTCCAAAATATATGATTTGTCCGCATAATGAATCATGTACCGTACCAGTTTGGTTGTTTTTAACAGCCTTACGCTTATTCGTTTTGTTCCTGATAGACGATCCACCGGTGTTATTGAAACAGACTTTGAGACACTTGAAATTCAAATCCAGACAAACTTTACTTATTCTACATGTTTTAGTGCTTGTGGGCATTGTTACTCACATAATGGCTTGTACTGGATTTGCAATATCCAGATACAATACTTTTTTTGGAACAAGTTCCAATAACTCTTGGATTTTCTATAACGATATTATAAATCAACCCATATACAGGCAATATGCTTATGCTTTTTTTAGAGCTTCGGCTCAAACTTTTGCCATAAAAATTACTGAATTTCCTAATATAACTTGGGAAGAATATTTCATAAGTTGCATAAATTATGCAGTTGGAAAAATTATGCATTTATTAATGTGGGTGGTGATACTCAATGTTTTATTAACCATACACATTCAAGAAATAAGGTTTCAAGAAATATCGTCCCAATTACGAAATTGGATGGACAATAGAGACCTACCACAAAATGTACAAAAAAGAGTTGTAGATTATTACAATTTTCATTACAGGAAGAAATTTTTCAATAAAAAGGAAGCCCAAGATGAACTGCCCGAAAGCTTAATGACAAAAGTTAAATACAACATGCATAAACTGTTAAAAAAATGCAACATTACCCTTTTTAGTAGACTTAGTGATCATGAAATTCAAACTTTAGCAGATCATTTCGAAACTGAAGTCTACATGCCTAGAGACGTAATCCTCAACTACGGAGCTCTAGGCACTCATTTGTACATAATCGCTTTCGGAACTGTCGCCCTTTATACTCGTTCCGGTAAAGAAGTTTGTCATTTGTACGACGGATCTTATTTCGGCGAATTGTCTTTGATATTGAAACAACACAAAGTCACTGTAAGCGTCGTCGCATTGGAAACGACCAAAATTTATAAACTATCCAAGAGATTATTGGACAAATATATTTTGTCTAATCAAGAGTTGAGGAAGATGTTTGTTGAATTGGCTCAAGCGAGGCTCAAGTTTATTATAAAAATGGAGGACGATTATAAGAAGGAGCTTTTTGCTGAAAAATATAAGATTTGAGGTTTTTTTTACATTGATTTTTTATTTTGTATCCAATTTATTATTTATATTTTGTATTGTTTAATTTATTTTGGTTTATAGTTGAATATACCTATTCATGTGTTCATTCATTGCATATTTTAATTTTGATTTGTTTTTCTCGCGGGGTTTCACACCTACTGTTATATCAGGGCCCTTATTTTTGAAACAGGGGAGCAACATTCCCATGAGAACAAGTAGTGTTCTGTCTTTGTTACTGATCTCATCACCATATGTATATCATTGAGGAAGACAGAGCAATTCAGCTCATGAGAACGCTGATATCTTGGTTTCAAGAATAAGTAACCCAAGTAACAATCCGACGTTATTTCACGTAATATTACGTTAAAAATGTTCTACCTGACGTCGGCATGCGACGTCCGTAGGACTTCCTGAGGACCAAAATGGGGAATGAAATTTGGGTCGATTCGACGTCGGAATCCGACTTTGAGTCCTTAAGCGGACCTAAACACTACGTAATTTGTCGTTGGGAATGCTATACCATTTCTGACTTGAAAAATCGAAAAAATCTAATTATTTATACCTAAACTGTACTATTTAAAAATTGGTCTAAAGATTTTACCCCATTATCTACCAAATGTGGATATATTATTTTGGAAACATAATAACACAAAATGACATTATTTCGTTGTAATATAATCTAAGTTCTTGCAACTTTTTAGTGCATTTCAAAAGTTCCTCTGGTCAAAATTCATGAACGCAGGTGACTTTATTGATAAAAGTAACTAAAACACAACCGCCTCTCCAAAAATTAGCAAAATTTAGAAAAATATCAATTTTTGTTTAATTTTCCAATTTTAATTTTTTGTTTAATATGGGTTCAGAGATACTTGTGAAGATCCTATATGATGAAAAATTGTGAAAAACACACTTATGAAGGACGAATCTTGCACATATTCACTGTAAAATTAAAATTAATCTAAAACATCAACAATGTCGATCGAACCCAATAATGGCCGAAACGCCCGAAACAGCTTATGTCGAAAGCGACGAAAATTGCACCAAAATTGCACGAAAACTGACTATGCCCAATCTTTGGTCAGATAAATAATTCCTAATTTTCACCTGCGCCGACCTTTAGTCGCAATGTGTAGATTCTTTTATACGAAATCTGTTCATGAAAATAATCGCGACATCGAGCCTACCTTTTAATGCTTTTACGGACGACGGGTAAAGCTTAATTTGATTTATAGATATGTACCTAAATAAAGTTTCCATTGATCAATACTAACCTAACAGTAATGTTGATTACGACCCATGGAAAGGAGTTTTCAGTAAATCTTGCGTTGATATGGAACTCAGGCTTTAATTATGTCGAATATTAAATGGTTTTCGTTTTCTCTCCATTATTTTTATTCACGTATGGGTTTCTACCTAATTCACAAGTAATTCGAAACTGAAATTTACGAAAATTAAAATAACCTAAAAGTTAGGTTATATTATTTTGTGTACCTACATTGTTAGAGTTTAATCAATTTTGGTAGATTTACGAAGTCGAACCAATGTTGGCAGAAAACTTAGAGCCGTCTATTTAAATTTAGTCGAATGACAACGTTCGAGCAACGTTGCCTACTATACCAAAGCTTACCTAGCCATAATAGGTCATAAGGCGAGGTTGTAGCAACGACCAAAGATAACTTTCAATAGTTTAGTCGACAAAGGACGTCATGCCAACGTTGGCAAATTACTCGTAAGCAACTTTAATTTTCGTAGGCGGCTTGCGTTGTCGAAGCATCGTTATGCCGATGTTGTACTGCGACTCAAGCTGTGAAGTCGTAATACGACTAATATATGAACCTATTCTGACGTTTGGAATAGGTGCAGATAACGTTGGAAGACGGAAAAATGTTACTTGGGAAGTAGATACCTAGAATACAAAAATAATAATGGAATGTTTCTAGCGGAGGTTCCAAAGACAAATTGAATCAAACGTCTAACAAACGTCAATTTTTCATTAAAAAAAAAATAAACGTTTATTAGACGTTTGATGTTGCGGATTTCAAAAACGTCCTACAACAAATGTTTCCAAGACTTTATGTTTATGAACGTTTCAGGATTGGACGAACTTTTAGAAGTGGGCCGGGAAATTTTAGTCTAGCAGCCCATACATTGATGGATTTATGGGGCACATCCCCACACTTAGGTAGATGTATTCTAATAATATCGGGTCTTCAAAAAAAAAACCAATCAAAGATTGCTATGGTTTTTTAAACGTACGTCTTAGCAATATTGTTCTTTAATTTTGACAATGTCAGTCAATGAAATTTAATGTCAAAATGTCATGTCAAAAATCCTGACCATTAAAGAAACATTAATGCGACGTACGTTTTCGTAACCAAAGCAATCTTTGATTGGTTTTTTTTTTGAAGACCCGATATAACGACAGTGAAAAAACAATAAAATGCTGAATGGAAACGCAGAATGGAAAATTTAGAAATAACTCTTATCTTGTTTTTTATTTCAAAGATGATTTCAAACAATCATAATGATAACTTGATGAGGTTTCGTCTCCTTGATACATAATTAGATTGATTCTTGGGTATAGGAAAGTTTGGTTATATGGTTTCCCGATGAGAACACATAGGTACAGAGTCAATGCACTATCCACAAAATTTGCTTATAGGTGTCAAAGGTTGATTAAAGAATGCCGATTCCGAATTATTATACTCAATGAACATCCACGGTTGTAAAACTAGTTTCTGAGTAAGTTATTTGATTATATAAAAGATTTCATTGTATTTGACTGAATACTTGTTCTGTAGGGCTTGAAAAAGTAACAATTAAAGGTTACGAAACGTTGCCAGGAGAAAAATTGTTTTAATTCCTAACCAAACTTTCCTATACCCAAGAATCAATCTAATCATAATGATATTTTTTCTTTAATGAGGGGCTTTAGTTGAACATTTCCATAAGAATCTTCTCAAAAGTCAACAATCCTAAGATTTCGTTATGTAAGTTCAGCGCCGGTTCAAGGCTCTACCGGGCCCTAGGCGGCAGAAGGTATGGGGCCTTTGCCCAAAATAACTTTTTTTGTCCAAATTGAAAAAAAAAAGCCTTTCAAAATGCTGCTGGAAAGTGTTTTGGAACGGTCTAAATGGCTTTTTGCAGTTCTAAAATGTTCTAACTTGGCTTGAAGAGTTCTGGAGCATTCTAGAAGTTTTTCAGTAGCTAATTTCTAAATTGTTCTGACAGATTTTCAAGTATTTTAGAGCCCTATTGAAGCTCCAAAAATTTCTAAATTGGTTCAAAAAAGTTCTAAAAGGTTTCCAGTTCTAAATTAGGATTGAATTTAGAACATTGAAATTGTTCTAAAATAACTCTGAAGTTTCTCAATTGCTCCAAAATGCTCCTGAAAATTCTGATTTAGATTTGAACTGTTTTAAATGCCTTTAAAGAATTCTAAAGTTCTACAGCAATCAAAATTTGCTCCAAAAATCCTTCTGAAAGGCGTTTTGTAATTTTTAATCTGAATCCTAAGATTCTGGCGCTTTTCAAAATGTTTTTGGGGATTCAAGAGTGTGGGTTTCAACCTTCTGAGTAGTTCTAAAATACTTTTGGAAATCGGCATTTGAATGTTTTGGGGCATTCTAAAATGGGTCTGAAATTTCCAAAATTTTCTGAAGCGCTACAGAATGCTTTTGGAAATTCTGAATTTAATTTTAAATATTTTGAACTTTCCAAAAGGTCTATTAAAGTTCTAAAGTGTTCAGTAGCATTTTAAATGGTTTCCAGTAACTTCTAAATTAAATGAGAACCGAATTCTGTGGGAAATTTTTCCCAAAGACGTCCCTAAGATGTCCATAAACGACATTCAAGACGTCTTGCCTACGTCTCAAAGCCATCTTTAAGACGTCGTAATGTAACAAAACTCAACGTCTTCCAGAGATCAGCACTACGAAATTCTAAAGACTACTTCAAATCTTCAAAGAGATGTCTCAAAGAGAGAAAGATATGAATTTACGACATTTTATATGGACATCTTCAAAACAACGTCTTCTAGGCGTCTTTTTTTGGTCTTCAGACGTTCAGACGTAGTCGTAATATATACAGACCCTAGAAAAGACGTCTTCAAGACTTTGTGTGCTGTCTGGGTAGTGGAACATCTCGTATCTATTATCTATTACTCGTTTAACGGATGTTCATCAGCAACATGACATAAGGTTGGATGGACTCTACCCGCGTTGGGAATCCCACAGCTACAGAACAGTGTTGCCGATAGTGTGCGTAATTCGGGTGGTGTGGTGCGTCTCAGGGCGCAAGGTTGCCAAAATAAGATATTTGATTTCAGAGTGAATTTCGGGCCCCATTGAGCGCCCGGGCCCTAGGCGGCCGCCTAATCCGCCTAATGGTTAAACCGGCGCTGTGTAAGTTCACTATCATCAACGCATCCAAATTTTCCATTCTAAGTCGATTGATTCCCTAACCGATTTATTATATCTTCAAGTGTTGAAAAGCATTTTTCGCAACCTACCTGTGAACAGTGTGAACACGCTAAAATAAGGACATACTGGTAAAGGCCTTGAAGATGACTGTATAATCTGTAGTTATATGAAACATTAAAGCAGCAAACCAAACATTGTTTGCAAAGTGAATGTGATTAAAACTTTTTCAGAAAGTTCTAGTTCATTCCCTATATGCAACCCTATGTCATTTACATTATTTTCATCTCCATCATTGGATCCAGAGAAGTCATACAACTCCGTCCTTTTCGAGTCAGGACATTTTCTTCCAAAATCTTTAAATTCCCCCTGTAAAACAGTCGCCGCATCTCCTTTTTTTTTTATGAGAATGAATTGCGGGTAATGAGTCTTGAATTATTACGTCACTTTCATTTGCTTCCAGTTTGCCCAATTGTCAACCATTCTTAGCGCGTCTTACTTTTTTCATGTTGCGTTGTTCTTTTTTCAATGCGCCACCAGTTGAATTGACCATTCTTATATATGTGCTATCATAATATTGATGCCGTCCGTTTGATCTCAGACTTTGGTTTGAAGGTATCTTGATAATCCTGTTGTTCTAAAGATCGGCCCACCGGGAATTTCTCGGTATCCAGGTGGGTTCATCCAACCCTGGAACGTTTTGTGAACATTTTGTTCTATTTTAGTCCTAGGGATGTTATTTCGTTAAAAAAACGTCCACCGTATATGATCGTTTCTCCTTTTTCAACTATTAAGGGCCAAATTATGGACTGACTGGTAAAAGTCTGGTTGTTACCTAGCAGGTACTTTCTATGCACTAGAGAATAGAAAGTACCTGTTAGGTAACAACCAGACACTTACCAGTTGGTCCATAATTTGGCACTTAGGCGTATAAGTTTCACTTTGTCTTTGTTCTTTATAATATTTCAATCTTTTGAGCTGTTGAATTTACAATTTCCTCAAGCTCAGGCAAAGTCTTTCTTCATTAAAACGCAGAAGTCAAAGTTTTTGAATAAGTAAGTTCTACATCACCCCAATTTCTCTAGTTTCCATCTGCTGGAGCTGTGACATTGTCGAAAATGAAATAAAGGGCGAGAGTTTTTAATTAACTTGTTTTTTTTTTGTGACTTTATTTTGATTTGGAGTGAAACTTTGGGAAAAGTTTAGAGAGCGATGTTCTCATAAATTGCATCTACATAAAGAGCAGGGAAAAAGTTAAAATTTTCCGCATTTTAAACATTTCAACAATAAAAGTAAGTTATGAATTACCGATGTAAAATATAAACATCTTACCTTCTTACTATCTCCATTTTCTTCACCACATTTACCACCAACAACAAACTATTTATCACCATTATTATTTATTTATATACGAAGGTGGCGACATCTATGAATCATGAAACTCAAGCTGAAAGAAATTTGAATTTCATTACAGAAATCTTCTTTTTTTATGCAATTTCAAATGAATATTTATAATTTTTCTACTAGCGACATCTATGAAGCAACACTCAAAAACGTCTGAAAACTTAACCGCACTTTTTTGATTATTTAAAAATCTGGATATTTTTTTCAAATCATCATAATTATTATCAATTCTCTTATCTTTTTGTTTGTTTTAATTATTCTCAGAAAGCATAGAGGTGTTTATTTGCGGTTTAAATGGTTTTCCTGTTGACTTGAGAGTTTAATTTAAATCGTTAACCTATTGTTTTTCAGTTTACTAAGTATTTGGTGCCTTTTTCCAGTAGTTCTTATTGCTGCGGCATGTCTCCCAAGGTAAGAAAAATAATTTTATTATTATTTGGGACCCTCCAAACCCCAAACTCCATACACTAAGTTATTGTGAGATTTGAAAACACAATCTTATCTTCAAAGAATGGAGCTCAGAACATGAACTATAAGTTCAAATAAGTTGAAATTTTCAGGGATTATAGTCCTCCACTAGCATAAGAATCGCTGAAAATTTCAGCTTTCTATCTTTAATAGAAAAAAAGTTATGGGTCTTCAAAGTTTTTAAAAATCCAAATCATAAGATAGCCTTAGCGCCAAATTCATAGTCGCTCCTTGAGGTTTCCTCAAACCTTAAGAAAGCCTTGAACGTTTAGAACTGCCATGACTAACTTGTCAAATAGTAGCATAAGTTTCCATTCTAAAACCACGACCTCCAAGTAAGATGTTACTGGTTATTTTCAGGGATTGAATTGGTATCGCTTTCCAAGCAATTTGATATTGAATATTATGAGCAGTTTGTCTACTGTAGTATTTTTGGCGTTCACCGTTCGTTAAATCTAAAAGAAAAACCCATTCTCGTATAATAAAGATAAATCCATTAAATTTAAATATTTGGTACAACTATAGGAGAAAGAGAGAGAACCGAGTCGATGGTACCGATTTTATTTTCCATGGCTGTTATCTAGCAGGGACGGTACCGAATTTCAGGCATTTGCAAAAAAATAGGTTGATCATTCGATTTTTGGCTGCGAAAGCTACTTGATTGACGCTAGCACGTTTTGCTGATTTTACATTAGAATATCGGTTTTCCTTTTCCCAATTTAATTGCAGAATAGTTTTCTGAACCTAAGCATAGTTTGCTGATGTGATTTTGGGAAAAATTCTGGAAAATATTGGAAATTCTAAGATATTAACTACAAAACCACATGGTTTCTCTTTGAAAGGCCACCTTAGAACTTTCGGTAAGTCTCATTTGTTCTTTCTAGCCTGTTCCGCTGCTGATACTCGTTTTTTTTGTAGGCCTTCTTCTTTTATCTTGCGATTTTTTTATTCCTTTGCTGGGAAAATCCACCTTGACCAGTTTCCTTGTCATTCTTGTCCTGGCAACTAAGGGAACTATCGTGAAACTGATGCACTTGCCTCAGTATCCTGGGATTTCTTTACGTCGGATGCCACAATTTATACCTACCAGATTGGCAATTACTGTGTACAGACAGTATCAAATGGTCAAGAAAATGGTACCTACCTGAACGGGTTTTGTGTATTGTACTGAACTGCTCCTGCTACCCATAAGGTCAGATCTTTCCATTTTTCTTATATAATTTAATTATCTCAAGCCCTCAGCGTGGCTGAAAAACATTGGATGGTAACATACATATTTAACTAACCGTGTACTATTACCACTTTAGGGCCTCCTATAGTTTTTAAGTTGGTTGTTTCGATAAAGTGCTGAAAACCTTACGAATGTACACCAAATATATGCATATACGCGGTATTTTCTAATCACTGGTGATTATTTACAGTATTTTCAAGTTTCAAGAACATTTTGTTAACTTTTACATAAGTAGTTTATTCAAATTCGAATATGATAAACGATAAAATACTAATTTGATATATGACATTACTGAAGGTGTAAAATTATAGTCTTTTACTTCTTTAATTAAAGCTGCCACTTCGTATTTTGAATTTAGTGTTTCTTTTCCTTGGTTTATTACTTTCTTGAGGTTCTTTCCCGTTTTGTTGGTTAGCACGATTACCTTTCTGTAGGGGTGAAAACGGGTGGCGCTATTATAAATTTATCTGAGCTATTTACCCTCGACCACTCTCCACTGGCATAGCTAGCTAGGAAGGGCCTTTGTACCCCAAACAGGTAATTGTACCTAAACTTTTGGTTTAGTGCATTTTCAGCTAACATTATTTTTAGAATTCCACTCATTTTGCAGCAAAACAATATAATTTTGATATTTAATTTTTTTTTTTACTCATAACAAAGAGTCAAGGAGCGACTGTAAATTCGGCCCTTAGTATTAAAATGATGAAATTTAAAATTTTGTTATGTCGAGATTTTGTGTCTGAATGATCATTCAGACCCCCCCAAACTCCATGCACTAAATTATTCTAAGATTTGAAGTCAAAATCTATGAAAAACCGCACTCAGAAAATTGAAAAATGTATAAATTTACCCCAAATTGCTTAACGCAATTTTATTTCTGGAACTATAAGTCCAAATGAGCTGAAATTCTCAGGGATTGTAGTCCTCTACTGGGATAAGAATCGCTGAAAATTTGAGCTTTCTATCTATACTTAATAGAAAAAAAAATGGGTCTCCAAAGTTTTTGAAATTCCAAATCATAAGGTAGCCTTAGTATTAAAATGATGAAATTTCAAATTTTTAATGTTGAGAAGTTGTGTCTAAATGATCATTGGGGACTCCCCAATCTTTATACACTAAATTATTCTAAGATTTGAAGCTTAAATCTATGAAAAAAGGCACTCAGAAAATTGACAAATTGATAAATATACTCCAAATTGCTTCAAGCGATTTTATTCCTGGAACTATAGGGTCAAAGCAGCTGAAATTTTCAGGGATTGTAGTTTTCATTGCTGAAAATTTCATCTTCCTATTTAGGTATAATAGAATCCAAATCATTTATTAGTTCTGAAACAATGAAATTTCAATTTTTTTTATGTTGAGATTTTGTGTATAAATGATTATTGAGGACCCCCCAAACCCCATCTATACTTATCATTCTCCTTTTCTTCGCTTCAATTTTTGTCATTTTGTCATATTCCGCATTCTCCGACTCATATTTTATCTATTCCACGCTCTTGACTTTCTATTTTCTTCTAAGATTCTCCATAACTAGGAAATTCAAAAGCCTCGTCAAAAGCCTGGAATAGAAAAACTATAAAATATCCCTCGATGGAACACAGAGCTCCGAAAAAAACCTGAACTGTGGCATTCCTCAGGGGTCATTCCTTAGATTCTTTCAGGAATTTCACGATTTTATGCAGATGACACCTTACTAGTTTACTTTGGCCACTCTTTTGACATTTTAAAAACTAATATAAAAAATGACTTAAAACTCATATCAAACTGGTTGGACTCACAAATTAGTCCAAAAATTGAACAATTTAGTTATATTTTCCTTTCCAACCAAAAGTCAAATTTTTCTGAAGCAATAATCATTGACCAATCTAAAATGCTACAATCTTGGCTACGATACAGCATTCAAAGTTAATATGTGGGACCTCGCCTGGGACTATGGATTGACGAGACCCTGACATGGCAATATTATATCGAAACCAAGGGGTAAAGCACTATCCTAGAATTGGTGCAAACAATTCCTCAAAGGGGAATTTTTTACGCATAATTCCTCAAAATTCCTGCAAATTCCTCTAAATTTCTCCAGATACTCCATCACAAATTCCTCCAAATACCCTACCACAAACTTCTCCAAATACCCCACAAATTCCTTAAAAAAAAAGGAAAATTGTGAAACTTTTTGCATGTAAAGAGGAAGGTGAGAAGATCATTTTCTCAAAATTTCAAATTTTTCTAGTGGAAAACAGCAACATGAAAAATCTTGGAAATCAACCTACACAAACTAAATTAGTTGAAAATACAGTCGCCCACATTTCAAAATTTTCCTGGAAAACTAACGAAGGGAAATTTTTGAAACTTTTTGCATGTAAAGAGGAAAGTGAGAAACTCATTTTCCCAAAATTTCAAATTTTTCCAGTGGAAAACAGTAACATGAGGAATATTGAAAATCAACTTACAATAACTGAATTAATTGAAAATACAGTCTCACATATTTCAAAGTTTTCCTGGAAAACCAGTGAAGCGAGAAATTTGAAACTTTTTGCATGTGAAAAGAAAGGTTAGAAGCTTATTTTCCCAACATTTCAAATTATTTCAGTAGAAAACAGCAACATAAAAAATCTTGGAAATCAACCTACAGAAACTGAATTAGTGGAAATTACAGTCTCACATATTTCAAAGTTTTCCTGGAAAACTAGTGAAGGGATAAATTTGAAACTTTCTGCATGTAAAGAGAAAGGTTAGAAGCTCATTTTCCCAGAATTTCAAATTTCTCCAGTGAAAAATTACAACATGACGAATCTTGGCAATCAACCTTACAAAAACTGAATTAGTCGAAAATACAGTCTCACACATTTCAATGTTTTCCTGGAAAACTACTGAAGGGAAAATTTTGAAACTTTTTGCATGTAAAGAGGAAGGTAAGAAGTTCATTTCCCTAAAATTTCAAATTTTTCCAACGGAAAACAGTAACATCAGGAATATTAGAAATCAACTTACAATAACTGAATTAATTGAAAATACAGTCTCACATATTTCAAAGTTTTCCTGGAAAACTAGTGAAGGGAAAATTTTGAAACTTTTCGCATGTAAAGAGGAAGGTAAGAAGTTCATTTTCCTAAAATTTCAAATTTTTCCAGTAGAAAACAGAAACATGAAAAATCTTGGAAATCAACCTACAAAAACTGAATTAGTGGAAAATACAGTCTCACACATTTCAAAGTTTTCCTGGAAAACTAGTGAAGATAGAAATTTGAAACTTTTTGCATGTAAAGAGAAAGATTTGAAGCTCATCATTTCCCCAGAATTTCAAATTTCTCCAGTAAAAAATTACAACACGAGGAATCTTGTAAATCAACCTACAATGACTGAATTAATTGAAAATACAGTCTTACATATTTCAAAGTTTTCCTGGAAAACTAGTGAAGGTAGAAATTTGAAACTTTTTGCATGTAAAGAGAAAGGTTAGGAGCTCATTTTCCCAGAATTTCAAATTTTTCCAGTAAAAAGTTACAACATGAGGAATCTTGTAAATCAACCTACAATAACTGAATTAATTGAAAATACAGTCTCACATATTTCAAAGTTTTCCTGGAAAACTAGAAAAGGGAGAAATTTAAAACTTTTTGCACGTAAAGAGGAAGGTGAAAAGCTCATTTTCCCAAAATTTCAATTTTTTCCAGTAGAAAACAGCAACATGAAAAATCTTGGAAATCAACCTACAAAAACTGAATTAGTGGAAAATACAGTCTCACATATTTCAAAGTTTTCCTGGAAAACTAGAAAATGGAGAAATTTGAAACTTTTTGCATGTTAAGAGGAAGGTGGGAACATCATTTTCAGTTGAAAAATCTTGGAAATCAGCCTACAAAAACTGTATTCATTCTTTTGAATTTTTTAAATTTGATAATTTGCTCTAAATTCCTCATAAATTCCTCACAAATTCTCCCAAATTCCCCATAAATTCCTCCAAATTCTCTATAAATTCCCCAAATTCTTATAAATTCTGATGAGTCTTTCAAATTCCCCACAAATTCCTCTAAATTTCCCACAAATTTCTCTAAATTGCCCACATTTTTGGCAAAGAATTCCTAGGTGGAAAAGTAAGAATTTTCTACTCAATTTTTATTAAATTTTCTCTCTCCACATTTTTTAATTTCTCCGACTCATATTTTTTTTTATTTCAGGGTCTTGACTTTCTATTTTCTTCTAAATTTTTCCAAAACGAGGAAATTCAAGAGCCTGGAATAGACAAAGTAAGAATTTGGTTCTCAATTTTTAATAAATTTTGTCTCCCTATAATTCTGCCTTTCTTCGTTTTAATTTTTGTCCATTCGAGAATCTTAATTTTTTTCTGAATTTTCCATAAATTTTCTCTGTCCATATCGAGCTCCATATTTTTCAATTTCTCCGACTCATATTTTGTTTATTCCAAACTCTTGACTATCCATTCTTCTAAATGTGGTCTGAGTTTTTGTGAAACTCCTCTTCTTATTATTTCTCAATTTTTCTGAATCAATTTTCTATCTATTCAAGGCTTTTGACTTTTAGTTTCCTCCTAAATTTTTACTAAATTTCCTCCTTTTTTCTCAATTTTCCATAAAAATTTTCTCTTTCCATTTCCCAATTTCTCCGACTCCAACGGTTATAGTATAGACATCACAGACAGTTTCCGAAACGCACGCAAAATATTTATTGTACATAACCTCGAAACTTATTCTAGAATAATCATCAACAAATATATACGAAATAATACACCCGTTTGAGGTTTTTTTGAATCTCCAGTACACAAGAAATTGTTACACAAAAATATTTAAAAATACAATGACGGACGTCTACTGACGTTGTGTCGACCAGACATGCGTTACCACCACCCCCCCCCCCACCCCGGCCAAATTTCGAAATGATGTGACTTATATTTCTCTATGCGTGTGGTGACAGTACAAATTTGTTCATGTCGTATTTATATCTAAGATCCGACGACTACTGTCGTTGTGTCACAACTCGTTATTTTTGAAATGTCGTCTATAAAACGTTGTGTCATGTCACATAACATCGATGAAAATAAGACGTCTATAGACGTTCTGTCCATCATCGTGTTAAAATTAGAAAAGTCAAGATTTTGAGATAGAAAGAAAAAAAAAGAATTTTCCTCTCAATTTTTATTTTATTTCCTCTCCTTATTTCTCCTTTGTTTCACTCAATTTTTGTCTATTCAATTTTGTCTACATTTTCCATAAATTTTCTCCCTTCATATCTCAATTTCTCAAACCTTATTTTTATTTATTCCATCAGGTTCTCGACTTTATGTTTTTACCAATTTTCAGGGATTGGACAAAATCCCATAAAATCTCTTGAAATTGCATAAAATCCTACAAAATTTCAATAAAACCAAAACAATCCTGCGAAATCTCATAAAATCATTACCATTCCTAAAAAATATTTTCTTTGAAATTCCCAAAAATCCTTTGGAATCTCCAAAAATCTGTTAAAGTCTGTCAGAATTCCATAATTTAGTGGAATTTCGGTAGAATAATTATGTTATTCTGAAAAAGGAATTATTTACATGTGCAATTTTTGCGGAGTTTCCATAGAATTCACATTAAATTTTAATTCCTCTTGAATAACATGAAATTTCAGTGAAATTCCGATCGAATTACACGAAATCCTAAATGAATTACATGGAGGAATTCTAAACAGTTACATATATGAAATTACACCAAAATTCCCAACCTGAAATTTCAGTTCTTCCAAAATTATATAAAGAATTTTAAAAAAGTTTCAAAAAATTACATGAATTCCGAGGAATTTTCGTCGAATTATATGGAGCTCCGATGCAATTGCATGGAATTCCAAGGAATTGTCAGGGAATTTCATGAAATTTAAGTGGAATTTTGAATAACTCTTATCGTTTCATACGGAATTCTAGTGAAATTACGAAAAATCCTGATGTAATTACATGAAGTTTTATTTTTATTCCAAGGAATTTCCAGTTAAAAACATGGCATTTTAGTAAAATTGAAATTCCGAAAAATTCCCATCGAATTACTGAATTTTAGTAAAATTAGAGAAAATTTCACAAGTGGATTTCCGAGGAATTTCCGGCTAAAAACCTTAAACATTTCGGTGAAATTTGGAAAAATTCCCATGTAATGATATGAAATTTCAATATATTCCGGAGAAATTTCGGTGAATTTTCAAGAAATTACTTGAAGTTTCATTAATATTCTTGAATATTATTGAAAGAGAATTTCAGTGAAATTCCCAAAAATTCTTAAAAAATTCTCATAAAATTTTAGGAATTTCTAAGAAATTACAGAATATATGAAATTGTGTGAAATTCCGAAAAATTTTATGGAAATTTTGTGGAATTCCAGGATATTCCAGTGGTAAAGTTTTGGGGAATTTCAGTAAAATTATGGAATTTGGAATTTCTATAGGAATTTTGGAGAATTTCAGTGGTATTTCGAATAATAAAAAATAATATGAAATATTCGCAGAATTTCCATCAAATTATATATAATTTCACTTTGTGTCGACTTACGATGAAATGTCGAGTAAAATTTCAAGGAATTCTCGTCGAATTACATACATGGAATTCCTTGAAATCTTATTGTGGAATTCCAGTGAAATAACATCGAATCCGAAGAATTCCCTTGGAATTAAACAGAATTTCCGTGGAACCACGAGAAATTTCGGCGGAATTCCGAAGAATTGAATTAAATTTTAGTGAAATTCTGAGTAATTTCTGTCGAATAATATAAAATTTTAGTGGAATTCCGAGAAATTTCATGATATCTGTAATTCCGAGGAATATTTGTACAAAAATTCCATTGAATTTTATGGTGGAATTCGACGTAATCTTATGGTGAAATTCGGAAAAGCATTATGAAATCTTATGGTAAAATTTCTAGGACTTTCTGTTTTTCTATTCAAATTTGTCATTTGAATGGAATTTCGAGGAATTCCATAAAATCTTCTAGTGAAATTCTGAGGAATTTCTATGAAATAACCAAAAATTTTCGCAGAATTCTCATGAAATAACTTGAAAATTTAGTGGAATTTCATGAAATCTCATAAGTAGTGTAATTCTGAGGAATTTTTGTCCAAGAATTCCATTGAATTTTATGGTGGAATTCCTAAACACTTTTCAAAAACCCCTAAAATGCTCCAGAATCACCTGAAATTTTGAAAATTTAAAATTTTCTGAACTCCTGTAAAATCGTGTAAAAATTTTCAAAATTCCCAAAATCTTACAAAATCAATTAAGATTTAAAATATATATTCTGGCACTACTCTAATAGCATAAGAATCACTGAAAATTTCAGCTTTCTCTGTACAATAGAATTTGAAATTATGATTATTTCAGCTTGATAAGATTGTCAAAACCTACAAATCCCTATCGCAAATCCCAGCATTGATAGGAGCCCAAATACAATCGCCCAATGCAATCAACACCACATGGTCTCAAAGAAACCTCGAGATGGGCGCGACCACGAAATTCAATAGAACAATTTTGCTCAAAAATCTTCAATGCATCGAAACCACCAATCCTGTAGATGTTAGCAGAGAGTAAGATTTCAATTTCTTTCTCCACAAAAAAAAAAAAAATAATTAATTTGTTATAATTTAGAATAATATCTCGCGTGTCAAAGTCTCAAAAACTAAAGGCTGTGCTCAGAGAAAAAGACTCAAACCAAATCCTAGAAATATGGCAACAAACTAATTTAATTAGGGTTGTAGATTTGGCTGCTTTGGATGTTCATGGCAATGTTTACACAGATGGTACCAAAATGTATTTGCAATTACATAGTTTTATTTTAATTTAAATTATTCCAGTTGAATTTGGTGCATTTGAATTTTCACCTGACGAAACCAAATTATTGTATGTAGCTGAGAAAAAGATTGTGAAAAGTGAGCCTTTTTATAAGAGGAAGAAGCTAGATCTCAAAGATGTTGGTGATGTTTCTAAGCCAGCACCAAGGGTAATTATTAATTAATTGAAAGGAACTTTGTTGTTATATTTGAAATTTTAATAGGGAGAAGAATTTTTATTTGAACAAGATTGGGGTGAACAACTTGTTGGCAAAAAACAATCAGTATTGGCCCAATACGACATTGAAAATGACAGTGTTGTTATTTTAAAAGGCACTCCAACTAATGTCTGTGTTGCTCAACCAAAATACACATTGGATGGCAAAAATGTAGTTGGAGTATCATACTTTGTGGAGCCAAGAAAGTTAGGCTTGATTTATTGCACCAATAGGCCCAGTACTATTTTTCAGTTGGATTTTGAAGGGAATTATGGTAATAATAAATATTAATATGTTTGAGCAATTTTTTTGATTGTCAAGTATTTTTAGTTGAAATGCCTTTGGATAATGCCGCAGTTAAGTCGCCTATATTTACTCTTGATGGAAATACTATAGTTTGGTTGGAGCGGCAAGCTAAAGGTCCTCATATGGCTTGTATGGCTTTGAAAAAAACTAGCTATCCTATAACTAAAAATGTAAGGATTTTTGTCTTTTTGGGTTTTTAACATATAAACTGGTTTTTTTTTAAGTCTACATCTGAAACTATCATTGACATAGTTGAATTTAAAAAAGAAACTACCAATAATAGAAATTTCTTTGGTATATTTACTACCGGTTTCCCAAAACGACCATGGGCAAGCCCTAACAAATTATTCTTGAATACCGCTCAAAAATACACAATAAACTCATATGTTGTTGATATTGGTAAGCATTTGATTAAGTTAAAAAAAAAAACTTCTATATTTCAAAATAATTCTTAAAGAAACTGGAGACCTAAATGAATTAATATACAATGAAGGCAGTCAATTAATTATTGACGTTAAAGACGATTTAGTTTTGGCTTTGAGACGCAATTTTTTGGTTCCTGATTCGATTGTCTTAGGAAAAATAACAGCCTCAGACCCTGCAGGCCCCATACAATGGACCGAATTAACTCCCAAAATTGAAGTGCCTGAAATCCAAGGAGCAACATACAAGTATTATGATTTCAATAAGAATTCCTGTAAGAAAATAATTATTGTTTTATCAAAACCAACTAATGATTATTATTTAGGTGATTTTAATGCAATTTACCTTGGGCCAACATCAGGTGATAACGTGCCTCTACTTGTATGGCCTCATGGTGGACCACATTCTTCGTTTGCCAATTATTTCTTTTTGGAAGAAGCCATTTTTTTGGCTTTAGGCTACGCAATCCTTTTGGTAAACTACAGAGGTTCGACAGGCTCTGGAAATGCAACAGTTAATTTTCTTTTGGGAAAAGTTGGCAGCGCTGATGTACAAGATTGCGTCGAGGCTGTTGATGCTGTCCTCAAAGATTGTCCTTGGGTCAACCCCAAACAAGTAATAATTAACATAGTTTTTAATTTTTTAAATAATTATGATTTGTTTTTAGTTGGCATTATGTGGTGGTTCTCATGGTGGTTTTCTAGTAGCCCATTTGAGTGGACAATATCCAGAAAAATTCAAATCAGTAGTTGCCAGAAATCCTGTCATTGATATTGCCTCTATGAGTATTATGTCGGATATTCCAGATTGGTGTTATATTGAAGCTGGATACTCATACACTCAAGAGGGTGCTGTTGATGATGATGCACTGCTTAAAATGAGAAATGCTTCTCCTTTAGTGCATGCTCATAAAGTAAAAGCACCTACACTGTTGCAAATTGGTTTCAGAGATTTGAGGGTACCACCTCAGCAAGGGAATGAGTATTATTTCAGGTTAAAGGCTAATGGGGTTAAAGTCCAGTAAGTGATTTTTTTACTAAATATTCTTATATGCAAATTATTTTTTGTAGAATGAATCTTTATGATGATAATCATCCCCTTGGCACTGTTCCCAACGAAATGGACAATATTATTAATACAATTTTGTGGACTGAGGAACATTTGGGACGTGATTAGGAATATGAATTTGATAAAAACTGTTTATTTTTTAATAAAGACATAATGGTAAATAAATCTATATAAAACCAAGATAATATCAATCTATAAATACACTGCCCTACACTAGATTAGACAAATCTTTACATATTGTGTAAGGCAATTGCGCTATTTGTTGTAATAAAACAATCAGACAGTAAAAAATAAATAAAATTTGATAAAACCACTTATAAATTATTCATTTGAAATTTTTATGTCTAAAATCAGAATTGCACACTATGATGAATGAGTATTATTACAAAAATTTCATAGTATTAGTACAGTTTCACTCACCTACACCCTTTCTTCTTAGGGTGGACCAAAAATAAGGTACAAGCATCTGTTTTATAGTTACAGATCCTCAAAATCTAATATCTTGATAATATTGGGACTGTGAATCTCGATTTGCGAGTTGCTTTAACTGTAGGGTTAGACAAACTTCAAAATTAAACAATAATAAAACTTAAATTATGTGGGGGAATGTCATCAACATAATTTCAAAAAAAAAAAAAAATACGACTAGAAAGACCAAAAATGTATCATTTTCCAAAACCTTTAGATATGTACCGAATTATCTTCATTCCCACCATTATTCATTGTAACAGTTAAAAGTTGTTTAGTACTACCTCCGCTTATATAGCTGTCAACGCTACTTTTAACACTAGCAATGCTCAAAGGAGTACCTGGTACCTTATGTGGAGTACTATCCAGAGAACTAGAACCATTTAATATGTTTTGGGCAGGAGCAGAAGGTTCATCAGGAGTGTAATAGTCAGATTCTTCACCTCGTTCGTATTTGCCATTTTTTTCTTTTGCTGATATTTTTTCTTCTATGTCAATGTCATCTATATGGTCAATTATGTCATCCATATGTAAAGCTAATGATCTTGTAATGCTTGCTCGCTTCTTTTGGAGTAATGGGGATAGGTTTTCTGCTTCACTATCTTCATCAATATGCTATTAATGAAATACACAAGTTTTGTAGAAATTACACTGATAAATATAACACTTTTATGACAAAAAATATTGATGAAAAATTCTTACTTCATCTTTCTCTTTTTCATTGACCAACTTTAAAGCGTCTCGTTGTCTTTGTCTGCTTCTTATTACAAGCTCTTTTTCGTCCCTTAAAAGAGGACATTTTTGAGTTTCCTTGGCATTTTCCTCCTCTGTCCTATTAGTTAAAACAGTTACAATAGCTAAAAAAAAATAATACAATGTATAATCATATACAACATGCTGCTGATGTGGAACTTTTTCACACAAAGGTCGGTTGAAGCAACAGTTACGGAGCCGGATTCTATGAAAAAAGGTACTCAGAAAAATTGAAAAATTGATATATCACCCCAAATTGCTTCACACTATTTTATTTCTTGAACTATAACTCCAAATGAGCTGAAATGTTCAGGGATTGTAGTCCTCTACTGGGATAGGAAACGCTGAAAGATTCAGCTTTCTATCTATAATAGAAAAAAAGTTATGACCTTTCAAAGTTTTCCAAAATCTAAATCATAAGGTAGGTACCTTCTTACCAAAACGATGAAATTTCAAATTTTTTTTTTGTCGAGATTTTGTATCCTGATGGTCAATCAACATACCCCAAACTCCATACACTAAATTATTCTCAGATTTGAAGCCGAAATCTATGAAAAAAGGCACTCAGAAAAATGGAAAAATTGATAAATCACCCCAAATTGCTTAACACGATTTTATCTCAGGAACTATAAGTGCAAATGAGCTGAGTTTTTCAGGGATTGTAGTCCTTTGAAAATGATGACATTCAGTGAAGATTCAGCTTTCTATCTATAATAGAAAAAAAGTTATGACCTTTCAAAGTTTTCCAAAATCTAAATCATAAGGTAGGTACCTTCTTACCAAAACGATGAAATTTCAAATTTTTTTTTTGTCGAGATTTTGTATCCTGATGGTCAATCAACATACCCCAAACTCCATACACTAAATTATTCTCAGATTTGAAGCCGAAATCTATGATAAAAGGCGCTCAGAAAAATGGAAAAATTGATAAATCACCCCAAATTGCTTAACACGATTTTATCTCAGGAACTATCAGCGCAAATGAGCTGAATTTTTCAGGGATTGTAGTCCTTTGAAAATGATGACATTCAGTGAAGATTCAGCTTTCTATCTATAATAGAAAAAAAGTTATGACCTTTCAAAGTTTTCCAAAATCTAAATCATAAGGTAGGTACCTTCTTACCAAAACGATGAAATTTCAAATTTTTTTTTGTCGAGATTTTTTATCCTGATGGTCAATCAACATACCCCAAACTCCATACACTAAATTATTCTCAGATTTGAAGCCGAATTCTATGAAAAAAAGCACTCAGAAAAATGGAAAAATTGATAAATCACCCCAAATTGCTTAACACGATTTTATCTCAGGAACTATAAGTGCAAATGAGCTGAATTTTTCAGGGATTGTAGTCCTTTGAAAATGATGACATTCAGTGAAAGATTCAGCTTTCTATCTATAATAGAAAAAAAGTTATGACCTTTCAAAGTTTTCCAAAATCTAAATCATAAGGTAGGTACCTTCTTACCAAAACGATGAAATTTCAAATTTTTTTTTTGTCGAGATTTTGTATCCTGATGGTCAATCAACATACCCCAAACTCCATACACTAAATTATTCTCAGATTTGAAGCCGAAATCTATGATAAAAGGCGCTCAGAAAAATGGAAAAATTGATAAATCACCCCAAATTGCTTAACACGATTTTATCTCAGGAACTATAAGTGCAAATGAGCTGAATTTTTCAGGGATTGTAGTCCTTTGAAAATGATGACATTCAGTGAAAGATTCAGCTTTCTATCTATAATAGAAAAAAAGTTATGACCTTTCAAAGTTTTCCAAAATCTAAATCATAAGGTAGGTACCTTCTTACCAAAACGATGAAATTTCAAATTTTTTTTTTGTCGAGATTTTGTATCCTGATGGTCAATCAACATACCCCAAACTCCATACACTAAATTATTCTCAGATTTGAAGCCGAAATCTATGAAAAAAGGCACTCAGAAAAATGGAAAAATTGATAAATCACCCCAAATTGCTTAACACGATTTTATCTCAGGAACTATAAGTGCAAATGAGCTGAATTTTTCAGGGATTGTAGTCCTTTGAAAATGATGACATTCAGTGAAGATTCAGCTTTCTATCTATAATAGAAAAAAAGTTATGACCTTTCAAAGTTTTCCAAAATCTAAATCATAAGGTAGGTACCTTCTTACCAAAACGATGAAATTTCAAATTTTTTTTTTGTCGAGATTTTGTATCCTGATGGTCAATCAACATACCCCAAACTCCATACACTAAATTATTCTCAGATTTGAAGCCGAAATCTATGAAAAAAGGCACTCAGAAAAATGGAAAAATTGATAAATCACCCCAAATTGCTTAACACGATTTTATCTCAGGAACTATAAGTGCAAATGAGCTGAATTTTTCAGGGATTGTAGTCCTTTGAAAATGATGACATTCAGTGAAGATTCAGCTTTCTATCTATAATAGAAAAAAAGTTATGACCTTTCAAAGTTTTCCAAAATCTAAATCATAAGGTAGGTACCTTCTTACCAAAACGATGAAATTTCAAATTTTTTTTTTGTCGAGATTTTGTATCCTGATGGTCAATCAACATACCCCAAACTCCATACACTAAATTATTCTCAGATTTGAAGCCGAAATCTATGAAAAAAGGCACTCAGAAAAATGGAAAAATTGATAAATCACCCCAAATTGCTTAACACGATTTTATCTCAGGAACTATAAGTGCAAATGAGCTGAATTTTTCAGGGATTGTAGTCCTTTGAAAATGATGACATTCAGTGAAGATTCAGCTTTCTATCTATAATAGAAAAAAAGTTATGACCTTTCAAAGTTTTCCAAAATCTAAATCATAAGGTAGGTACCTTCTTACCAAAACGATGAAATTTCAAATTTTTTTTTTGTCGAGATTTTGTATCCTGATGGTCAATCAACATACCCCAAACTCCATACACTAAATTATTCTCAGATTTGAAGCCGAAATCTATGAAAAAAGGCACTCAGAAAAATGGAAAAATTGATAAATCACCCCAAATTGCTTAACACGATTTTATCTCAGGAACTATAAGTGCAAATGAGCTGAATTTTTCAGGGATTGTAGTCCTTTGAAAATGATGACATTCAGTGAAAGATTCAGCTTTCTATCTATAATAGAAAAAAAGTTATGACCTTTCAAAGTTTTTCAAAATCTAAATCATAAGGTAGGTACCTTCTTACCAAAACGATGAAATTTCAAAATTTTTTTTGTCGAGATTTTGTATCCTGATGGTCCATCAACATACCCCAAACTCCATACACTAAATTATTCTCAGATTTGAAGCCGAAATCTATGAAAAAAGGCACTCAGAAAAATGGAAAAATTGATAAATCACCCCAAATTGCTTAACACGATTTTATCTCAGGAACTATAAGTGCAAATGAGCTGAATTTTTCAGGGATTGTAGTCCTTTGAAAATGATGACATTCAGTGAAGATTCAGCTTTCTATCTATAATAGAAAAAAAGTTATGACCTTTCAAAGTTTTCCAAAATCTAAATCATAAGGTAGGTACCTTCTTACCAAAACGATGAAATTTCAAAAATTTTTTTGTCGAGATTTTATATCCTGATGGTCAATCAACATACCCCAAACTCCATACACTAAATTATTCTCAGATTTGAAGCCGAAATCTATGATAAAAGGCGCTCAGAAAAATGGAAAAATTGATAAATCACCCCAAATTGCTTAACACGATTTTATCTCAGGAACTATAAGTGCAAATGAGCTGAATTTTTCAGGGATTGTAGTCCTTTGAAAATGATGACATTCAGTGAAAGATTCAGCTTTCTATCTATAATAGAAAAAAAGTTATGACCTTTCAAAGTTTTCCAAAATCTAAATCATAAGGTAGGTACCTTCTTACCAAAACGATGAAATTTCAAATTTTTTTTTTGTCGAGATTTTGTATCCTGATGGTCAATCAACATACCCCAAACTCCATACACTAAATTATTCTCAGATTTGAAGCCGAAATCTATGAAAAAAGGCACTCAGAAAAATGGAAAAATTGATAAATCACCCCAAATTGCTTAACACGATTTTATCTCAGGAACTATAAGTGCAAATGAGCTGAATTTTTCAGGGATTGTAGTCCTTTGAAAATGATGACATTCAGTGAAGATTCAGCTTTCTATCTATAATAGAAAAAAAGTTATGACCTTTCAAAGTTTTCCAAAATCTAAATCATAAGGTAGGTACCTTCTTACCAAAACGATGAAATTTCAAATTTTTTTTTTGTCGAGATTTTGTATCCTGATGGTCAATCAACATACCCCAAACTCCATACACTAAATTATTCTCAGATTTGAAGCCGAAATCTATGAAAAAAGGCACTCAGAAAAATGGAAAAATTGATAAATCACCCCAAATTGCTTAACACGATTTTATCTCAGGAACTATAAGTGCAAATGAGCTGAATTTTTCAGGGATTGTAGTCCTTTGAAAATGATGACATTCAGTGAAGATTCAGCTTTCTATCTATAATAGAAAAAAAGTTATGACCTTTCAAAGTTTTCCAAAATCTAAATCATAAGGTAGGTACCTTCTTACCAAAACGATGAAATTTCAAATTTTTTTTTGTCGAGATTTTTTATCCTGATGGTCAATCAACATACCCCAAACTCCATACACTAAATTATTCTCAGATTTGAAGCCGAAATCTATGAAAAAAGGCACTCAGAAAAATGGAAAAATTGATAAATCACCCCAAATTGCTTAACACGATTTTATCTCAGGAACTATAAGTGCAAATGAGCTGAATTTTTCAGGGATTGTAGTCCTTTGAAAATGATGACATTCAGTGAAGATTCAGCTTTCTATCTATAATAGAAAAAAAGTTATGACCTTTCAAAGTTTTCCAAAATCTAAATCATAAGGTAGGTACCTTCTTACCAAAACGATGAAATTTCAAATTTTTTTTTGTCGAGATTTTTTATCCTGATGGTCAATCAACATACCCCAAACTCCATACACTAAATTATTCTCAGATTTGAAGCCGAATTCTATGAAAAAAGGCACTCAGAAAAATGGAAAAATTGATAAATCACCCCAAATTGCTTAACACGATTTTATCTCAGGAACTATAAGTGCAAATGAGCTG